CCTCCACCCAAGCCCCTTGTGGGCACCTCTTTAGCATCTGAAAAGAGGCTAATTGATATAGCGAGAAGGTATTCATTGCTTGTCTTAAAATGTTTGTTTCTGCCAGTAGTGGATGCACATTCATTCAGCAAATTGAGTTATTCCTCCATTTTACGCATTGTTCTGTGGTTAAGCAACAGAGAAGAGGTAGAGTCAGTGAGGAGGTGAAGATGGAGAGATGTGAATGGATATGAGGAACCTTTAAGGTATAGAGGCAATCAGACTTGGTGATGAAAGCAGGTGAAAAAGAGAGAGAAGTCAGAGATGATGTCCATGTTCTTGGCTTGGCCACTGGGTGGATGGTGGTGCTGTTACCTGAGAGAAGCGTGCAGAGAAAGGAGTTAGGGCAGTGAGGAAGGGAGGATACACTGAGTTTGAGATACTCATAGGTAATCTGGTGACAGTTTCCAATAGCAATTGGCTATATGGATCAAGATGAAAATACAAATTAAAAGGAACCAGCTGTAGTAAACACCACTGATGGTGTTTTCTGTTGTTGTAAATGTAGTCCCTTCCATTATAAAACCATGTATCTCATGGATCACTTCAAAGAATTACCTGATTCAGCCCTCCATCTTTATCCATCCAGCCATTAATTTTTTTTAAAAGATTTTATTTATTTATTTGAGAGAGAGACTGAGAGAGAGAGAGCATGAGAGGGGGGAGGGTCGGGAGGGTCAGAGGGAGAAGCAGACTCCCCACTGAGCAGGGAGCCCGATGCGGGACTCCATCCAGGGACTCCAGGATCATGACCTGAGCCGAAGGCAGTCGCCTAACCAACTGAGCCACCCAGGTGCCCTCAGCCATTAATTTTTAAGCTTAAACCATGTATTGCTCACCTTTTAGAACTTAGAAAGCCTGCTTTTCCTCTTCAATCTATGGAATCCAGAACTGAAGGTCATGCCTTAGTATGTTGTCAGAGATCAGCACTGAAGAAATGAGAACAGTCAGTAAAAAAGTCTATGACAAGTTAGTAAAGGGGCAAAGTGGAATAATATAAAATGTATTAATTCAAAAAATGAAAAGAAAAACTAAAAATATAACACAAAGTAGATGGGTTAATTAGAAGACAGTAAGAGTCACTATAAACTCAACTAAGTCAATAATTAATATAAATTGACTAATCCAAGTAAAAAACTAAAACTGCAATACTGGATAAAAAAACAATAGATATTCTTTTTTTTTTTAAGTACAGTTGACACACAATGTTACATTAGTTTCAGGTGTTCAACATAGTGATTTGTTATGCTATGTTATGCTATGCTCAGCACAAGTACAGCTACCATCTGTCATCATAAAACATCATTACACTACCATTGACTATATTCCCTATGCTGTGCCTTTCATCCCCATGACTTATTCATTCCATAACTGGAATCTTGTACCTCCCACTACCCTTTACACATTTTGTTCACCCCCCTAACTCCCTCTCTCTGGCAGACACCAGTTTGTTTTCTGCATTTATGGGTCTGTTTCTGTTTTGTTTGTTCCTTTGTTTGTTTGTTTTTTTAATTTCCACATATAACTGAAACATATGGTATTTGTTTTTCTCTGTTTGACTTATTTCACTTAGCGTGATACCTTCTAGGTCCACTTATGTTTTTGCAAATGACAAGATCTCATTCTTTTTGATGTCTGAGTAATATGATATTCTGTATATATATATATATGTATACACCACTCTTTTTTATCCATTCATCTATGGACATCATATGGACACTTAGGTTGCTTCCATATATTGGCTATTGCAAACAATGCTGCAGTGAATATAAGGGTGTATATATCTTCTTGAATTAATGTTCTCTTTTTCTTTGGGCGAATACACAGTAGTGGAATTCCTGGATCATATGGTATTTCTACTTTTAATTTTGGGGTAAACTTCCATACTCTTCTCTGCAGTAGCTGTACCAGTTTACATTGCCACCAACAATGCACCAGAGTTCCTTTTTCTTCACATCCTCACTGACACTTGTTATATCTTGTTTTATTGATTCTAACCATTCTGACAGGTGTGAGGTGATATCTCATTGTGGTTTTGATGTGCATTTACCTGATGATGAGTGATGTTGAGCATCTTTTCTTGAGTCTGTTTGCCATCTGCATAATGTCTTCTTTGGAAAAATGTCTATTCAGGTGTTCAGCCCATTTTTTAAAGGTATTATTTGGTTTTTTGGTGTTGAGTTGTGTAAGTTTTTTATATATTTTGGATATTAACCCCTTATTGGTCATCTCATTTACAAATATCTTCTCCCAATCAGTATGTTGGCTTTTTGCTTTGTTGATGGATTTCTTCTCTGGGCAAAAGCTTTTCAGTTTAACTTAGTCCCATTTGTTTATTTTAGCTTTGCTTTCCCTTGCCTGAGGAGACATAGCTAGAAAATGTTGCTAAGGCCAATGTCAGAGAGATTACTATGTTTTGTTCTAGAAGTTTTATCGTTTCTGGTCTCACATTTAGGTTCTTAAACCATTTTATTTGCACTTATTTTTGTGTATGGTGTAAAAAAGTGGTCCAGTTTCATTATTTTGCATGTAGCTGTCCAGTTTTCTCAACACCATTTATTGAAGAGATTGTCTTCCCCCATTGTATATTCTTGCCTCCTTTGTCATAAATTAACTGACCACGTTAAGTGTGGGTTTATGTCTGGACTGTCTATTCTGTTCCTGCATCTATGTATCTCTTTTCGTGTCAGTACCATACTGCTTTGATTACTGTAGCTTTGTAGTGTATCTTGAAATCTGGGATTGTGATACCTCCAGTTTTCTTCTTCTTTCTGAGGATCACTTTAGCTCTTTGGGGTCTTTTGTGATTCCATACAAATTTTAGAATTATTTTTTCCAAATCTGTGAAAAATACTGTTGATATTTCGATAGAGATTGCATCAAATCTGTAGATTGCTTTGGATCTAGATGCTCTTTTAAACCATGGTTTGTTTTTTTTCTGTGCCCCAAGGTGACCAGGGCTAGTATGGGCTGGGGACTCAGGGGTTGCTGAGGTGACAGGCTGGCTATGGCACCTAGACCCTGCTCCCATCTGCACTGTCAAGGTGCAGAGGGAACATAAACTGTGGTGCTCGCCAGCCCCTCTGAACCTGAAAGAGTTCCAGCATCTCCCCTGCCAGTTGGCAAGGTTCTAGGGCTGGTTCCTTTATATTGCAGCTTTTTTTCTGTGCTGCAAGGCAGATGTATTTACTCATGGTCCCTAGGTACTGTCCCTCCCCACTGCAGTTCACAGCATCAGGCATGGGGTTCCCTTCATTACTGTGTCTCCACCTCCTTTGCCATTCTCTATGTGGTCTCTGTCTTTTTTTTTTTTTTTTTTTTTTTTTTGTGCACAAGCTGTTCAGTCAGCTTTCAGTTCTTTTTCAGGAGGAAATGCTCTATAAATAGGTGTAGATTTGGTGTGTCCATGGAGGTGGTAAGTTCAGGGTCTTCCTACATCACTATGTTGGACCCTCCCACTCAACCATAGACACATTTTAAATATAAAAACACAGAAAGATTGAAATTGAGAGATTGGAAAAAGAGTTACCATGCAAACATTCATCACAAGGAGCTAGTATAGCTATCCTAATATCAGAGTAAATTGTGGGGCAAGAATTCTCACCCAAGAAAAAGAGGGACCCTTTATGATGATCAGGGAGTCAATCCAATAGAAAAATAGCACAATCTCAAATCCTTGCATACCCAATAACTTAGCTTCAAAACACAAAAAGTAAAAAAATGACCTATCTGAAATCCACTGAAGGAAATCATTGATCAAGTTCAAAACTGATCTGAAGAGTGAGTTACTACTAATTACTCTGCTACATTTGCCCAACTTTAACCTTCAAAGAATGTGCGCCATCCTTTGGGGATATCCCCTCTCCCATTGCTGCCCTGACATGGGACTTTGGCTCTGGAGTTCACCCATTTCCTTTCACCAAAGGAAAAAAGCTTCCCCTTACTTTTCTTTAGGCCCTGGGACCTCCCTTGGGTTCTAGCCACTGCTGTCTCCCCAGAATTCTTTGTATTTCTGCTATCTCTGTATAATCTGCAGATTATATACAGAAATCTTTGTATTTCTGCAGATCCTGCATAATCTGCCTCTAGTGGTTCAGGGAGTAAACTCAGCCTCTCTTGCTGAGGGTAGGACTGGGTGGGGGGCAACAATGGGCAGACTGTCATTAACAAACCTGGCAAGATATTATCTTGAGATACTAATCTGTGGAGTTTTTTCTCCACTTCCTCGTACAGTATGCAAGTGGCCCCATGGAAGAATAAAGTTGATAGAGAGGGATTAAAAGAGCTGAGAATAGTTCATGCTGAGCTTCGTGACTCTGAAATAGCTTTTGAGAATCAAAAAGTGAGGTTTGAGGCATGAAGCACATGAAGATACATGGAGCAAGGAGAGAGACTAGAGGAATTGCCAGACAACCACATCCCAGTGTCTCCAGGGGTACCAGTGTATAGGTTTACTGGGTGGACAAGGGGAGGAACGGGGAGGAACATATGGAGAAAAGTAGGTCAGCACTGGGAGCCTGGGGAGCACCTTGGAGCATTTCCCATTACCACCGCTTCCCCCAGGAGGCCCTCAGCAGGCTGTGTACCCCTGGAGATATTTGCCAAACCCCTTCCATACTCCCCTGAATAGTCATCCTTTCCACTTCAGTAGATTCTCATGGGCCCCATGTATATGTTAGGAATGATTTCAGCTACAAGCAACAAAAAAATGATTAGCAGTACCTTGAACATCAGAGGTTTATTTTTTCATGTAACAAAAAGGGTAGGGGTGGGCAGTTGCTTTGTAAAAATGCAGATTCCCCAAGAATCCTGAGAACAGGATTCACTTAGTTCTGGAATGATCTCCAGGGATCTGCAATTCTAGAATCTTCCCAAGTGATCCTAATTTGCAACCAAATGTGGGAGTCAGTCTTCCCTAGTTTACTGCACCTGATGTGCTGTCCCCTCTTCTCCATTTTCAGAGTCCTTTAGCTTCCAATGGAGTCAACAGCACTACGAGTGAACACCTGATTCATTCATTCATTCAAATGGTCAACAAACAGTAATTGCTCACCTTTTATATGACAGACACCAGCTCTATGAGAGTTGTGAACTGGGCCTAGAAACATGAAGATATATTAACATTCTCAAAGTACGTAGAATTTCTACAGAATCTATTAAGTGCTTTTTTTTTTTCCCATTGAGGAAAGATGGGGTAACTATCCAGGTAAACATGATGTATTAACCACCGTTTTTTGTCTCCATTTCCTCTCAAAACCTCATTACAATATAAAGATTTTGTTAAAGACAACAAAATCCTCAGGGACAATGCTAAAAGAAAAGGCAATAAGAATGGAAAGAGAGATGTGAACACAGAGTTGGCAACTGGAAAACAGATAGCCAGCGATGAGTGACTCAGAGACTGGGTGTGGGGTGCAGAGAGGATGCAGGAAGCTAACAGACTGGCCCTATAGAGCTCCTGAAAGGCACAGGATTGGAGACACCAGGAACTGCTCCAGAGCCGGGGTGTTGGGTAAAAGTCTGTACTAAATGCAGGGAGATCCTTAGATTCCTTCCCCACCCTACCCCATGAGGCATCTCCCTCATCCAAAAGAAAACATACTTGAGAAGGAGATTGAGGGCCAGTCAGCATGCTGAATGAACGGTGAGAACCACTAGTAACTTTTCCCCCCAATGCATCTGAGAATCCTGGTGGCCTAGCTTAGACAGCTGAGGCAGCAGCCTAGAAGTTTCCTCTGTAGGGGAACTGAGTTCTTCAAAGAAAAAACTTATAGACAATGAATATTGGGAATCCTAATCAAACATAGAAATTCAGAGAAAACCGAGACAGCACAAAGAGCAGCATAAACTGTCAGGAAAATCATAATATCTTCAGGGAAGTAATAAAAGATAATTTTATCAACAACAAAAAAATAGGCTCATAGAAAAAAATGAGTTCTCAGTTTTAAAAAATATAAAAACAGAAAAAAATTTTCAATAGAATCCAAGCATGCTTTAAGGGGAACTACCTGAGGATGTACTCCACCAAAATGGGGGAATAAACCAGGAAAAAAGAAGACACAGGATTCAAGAAAAAGGAATCCAATGCAAGGAAATTAGATGACACATCAGAGCAGGAGGCCAGTGGGCTCCAGAGGGGATATGTTAAAAATTAAAAAATCAACAGAGTACTTGACATATTTGAACTATTCTTTTAAAGATTGATTTATTTATTTTAGAGGGAGAGACAAAAAGTGGGGGGAGGGGCAGTGGGAGAGAATCTTCAAGAAGACTCCCCACTGAGCACAGAGCCCGATGTGGGCTCGATCCCACGACCCATGAGACCATGACCTGAGCTGAAACCAAGAATTGGACACTTAACCGACTGAGCCATCCAGGCACCCCAAATTTGAACTATTAAGAGAAAATTAACAGTTTTGGCAAAGAGTTGGAGGAGCATTAAGGATAGGTATAAATCAAAACCTAAGATAATATTGAACTCCAGGGAGGAAAAAAAAGTTGTATAACAAAGGAAACATTACTAGTGCATGCTGCATGCCTTAGCTGGGTATGATATTTACAATAATCACAACAGTGTTAACTTTGAATACTGATTTAACCAAATATTATGATATATTTATGTTGGAAGAATGAGGAGAACAAGGGTGCTAAATCTTCATCTTTCATAAGAAGAAGTCAAGAGTCTATATCTAAGTCTGAAAAGAATACGGAAGCATATTATTCAGACACATGGAAGAAAGATCCAGAAGAAGCAGCTTAGCCAGTTGAAAGTGACACTTCCGTGTCTCTGATGAGTAGGGCCATGTGGGAAATGGTAGTCTGTCAGACCACAGGGAATTTTTCTGGTCAACAAATCCCAGACTTTTGTGATTCTTTCTCCCTATTTCACTGGGTTCAGCCAGAGTCCTCCCTTGAGGTTTGCCAAGTGTAAGCTCTAAGGAACACACAAACACACACAATGAACTTCATTTGAACTTTGTTCATCCTTTTTTTCTGAGCCAAAAGTGTCAAAACAAATAGGGGAAGAGCCAGAGCCCACACAGATAGGTGGGGTGTTAGTACAGCAGGTCTAATCCCTGAGCCTCTTGCATCTATGTTTCCTATAGACATGAAGAACTGTGAGTGGCTTCACTAGCCACCCCAAATACCAGCCCAGATTCTCTGATGAACTCTACACCCAAATACATAACCATCTAATGGACATTTATCTATACTTGGCTGTCCTACACGTAACTCAAATTCAACAGGTTCAAACTGAATCAATCATCTTTCTATCTTCTCCAAATCTGCTCTTCTTCTGTGAGCTCTAGGTCAGGGAATGGCATCTCCGTTCACCCAGCTGTTAATTCTAGGAGCCTGCAGCTTCATCTTGACTTCCCCCACCTCTCATCCAACATATCCATCTCCTCCCCCCTATATATATAAATGTTTGAATGAATGAACAACAAATGAACCCATTATTTTTCATACATTGTGAATGCCTATAAACTAGGACCAACACTGTTTTGCCTCTAATGCTTCTTTCCGATTCACTCAGATTTAATGGCCTGTTGTGTGTTTTATATGAAGTGGGCACCTCTAATGTACCAGGAACATTCCTGCCTTCAAAGATTACAATCTGTTTGGGGAGGCAAAATGTGAATAAGCAAGTTTAAACGTACAGCCACAGACAGCTGAGCAGTGGGTGCAAAGAAGCTACTATGGGATTTGAACTCATAGCCTGAGTATGGGTCCGGTTCAGGGAGGTGTGACTTTCCCAGTCCTGGGTGCAAAGTCCCTAGGGTGGTTTCCAAGCATTTTGCTAACAGTGAAAATGGGAAGATGGGAAGAAAGTGTCATACCAAGTAAGGCTCTTGTTGACAAAAGTCAGCAAAGCACAGATTTGGTTGGTATCCCACAAGCATTCTCATCTTTGCTTTAGTACTTTCACTCTAAAGAATAAAAATAGCAGTTCCTCTGGTGATGAAATCTCACCAGTCTTTCTTTCCTGCCATGAGAGAGGGACTACTGTTTGCCTGCTCTGCTCACTCCATGACTGCAGATGTCAATTGATTTCCCTCATTTGGGTATTTCTTCCCATTGGAACAATGATCAAACCATTTTTTTAAAAGACTGTATTTATTTATTTGACACAGATTGAGAGTGAACACACAAGCAGGGGGAGCAGCAGGCAGAGGGAGAAGCAGACTCCCTGCTGAGCCCGATGCAAGGCTCAATCCCAGGACCCTGGGATCATGACCTGAGCCAAAGCCAGATGCTTTACTGACTGAGCCACCCAGGTGCCCCAAATGATCAAACCATTATACAGGAGTAGCTAAGAGAATTTTCACTGCTTTGGGCTCCCTTTGGTGTTTTCTAATTCTGGAACTCTATGTCTTAACTCCTATGTTCTCCTGTGGCATCCCATTCACTGCCAGCCCCACCAATTCACATGAGGGTAGCCCCTTCCATGTTCTAGGAGGAATATCCTAATAGAGCAGAATTCTTGTCTCACTCTGCACTTCAGATTTAGAGGTTCAGACCTATGTGCATCCAAAACAGAGCCTGGCTTAGAGAAGTCCCTGGGTAAGTATTTTTAGATGAATGAAAAATCAGAACCTTTCATCTGATGGTCATAAGGCTATCTTACCACAATATGAGAGTAAACCAGCAGAACAGCAGTGGAGATGAAGAAAAGCAACAGAATTTAACAGTCTTTAAGGAGACAGAATATATAGGGGGGAGGAGATGGATATGTTGGATGAGAGGTGGGGGAAGTCAAGATGAAGCTGCAGGCTCCTAGAATTAACAGCTGGGTGAACGGAGATGCCATTCCCTGACCTAGAGCTCACAGAAGAAGAGCAGATTTGGAGAAGATAGAAAGATGATTGATTCAGTTTGAACCTGTTGAATTTGAGTTACGTGTAGGACAGCCAAGTATAGATAAATGTCCATTAGATGGTTATGTATTTGGGTGTAGAGTTCATCAGAGAATCTGGGCTGAAGGCAAGGATTTGTACAGTATCAGCACAAAGATGGTAACAAAATGAGATGAGAGTGTGTAAAAGGAGAAAAGAAAATAAGGACAAACCCCTGAGGAGCACCCATATTTAAAAGCAAGATTAAAAAGGCGGGGGGGATCTATAGCATAGATTGAGAGGAAACAGCCAGAGAGGTGGGAGAAAATCCAGGAGTGTGGAGTCACAGAAACAAGAGAGCTAGAGTTGTAGGTGTGGGTGGACACCATTGTCCAGTGATGCTGAGAGATTATGCAGCATAAAGGTCGAAAAGTATATGTTGGACTTAGCAGCAAAGCAGTTGTTTTGAGTTGCATTGCGTCCCCCAAATTCATATGTTGTTTAACCCCTAGTACCTCAGAATTTGACTGTGTTTGGAAATAGGATCTTTAAAGAGATAAGTTAAAATGAGGTCATATGGGTAGACTTTAATCCAATATGGCTGTTTTCCTTATAAAAAGATATTAGGACACAGACACACACAGAAGGAAGGCTATGTGAAGACACAGGGAGAAGACAGCCATCTATAAGCCAAGGAGAGAGGTCTCGGAAGAAACTGACCCCTCCAACACCTTGATCTTAGGCTGCCAACTTCCAGAACTATGAGAAACTAAATTTCTATTGTGTGAGCCACCCTGTCTGCGGTATGTTGTGGTGGCAGCCCTTGCAAACAAACACAGCAGTCATGGTGACTTTGATGAGAGGAGATGCTTTGAGAGTAGCATGAATGGGAGTTCAGGTGGCAGGAACCAAGGAGTGAGCAGGTGTGAGGAAATGTCCAACAATTACAGGAAATGATTTCAAAATTCTGTCTGTGAAGGGAAAGAGCAGGTCTGGGTGATACCTGAAGGAAGCTGTGGGTCAGTGGAGGGGAGTTGACTAGTTAGTTGTTGGATTCGTTAGTTGATTTTAAAGTGATATAACTAGTCATTAATAGCTCTCTAACTGAAGAGTCAGAGCACACTTCAAGAAGGTGAGTTTAACATTCCAAGGCTAGAGTTTAACCAAGACCAAGCTAACACATCCATTTTGGTCAGGTCCCTAGAGCAGCACTCTCCAATAAAGTAGCCACTGGGTGCATGTACTTACTGAAATTTAAAATAATTACAATTGAATAAAATTTAAAATTCAGTTCCTCACTCACACTTGCCACCTTTCATGTCCAATGGCCGCAAATGGCTAGTGGCTACCGTATTAGGCGGCACAGATATCATAGGACATTTCCATCATCATAGAAAAATCAATTGGACAATGCTGCCCCAGAGTTAAATTGTTGGTAAGTGAAGGGCTGGTGCAAACTCCACAGTGTCACATGGTACAGTTTTGATGAATAGGAGAGGGTCAGCAAGAGAATGCATATCATTTCCCATTTCTCCTTCCCCTAGCCCCTGCCAACCACCATTATACTTTCTGTCTTTATGATTTTGACACTCTAAGTACCTTATATAAGTGAAATCCTGCAATATTTGTGTTTTTGTGACTGGCTTATTTCACTTAGCATAATATCCTCAAGGTTCATCCATGTTGTAGCATATTGCAGAGTTTCCTTTCATTTTGAAACTGAACAAGATTTCGCTGCATGTATATACCACATTTTGCTTATCCATTCATCCATGGGTGGACACTTGGGTTGTTTCCATATTTTATCTATTGTGAATAATGCTGCTATAAATGTGGGTGTACAAATATCTCTTCAATTCTCTGCTTTCAATTATTTTGGGTCTATATGCAAAGTGGAATTGCTGAGTCATACGGTAATTTTATTTTTTGAGGAACCGCTATACTGCTTTCCACAGCTGCTTATCATTTTACATTCCCACCAGCAGGAGTTCCAATTTCTCCACATCCTTGCCAGCTCTTTCCTTCTTTCTTTCTTTCTTTCCAATAGTCATCCTAATGCCTGTGAGGTGGTCCTACTGGCAGTTTTTTGAATACTCAAGTTTAAATATGTCTACCCAAAACTGACCACAGAGCTGACCAGACCAAGGTCTGTTACCTCAGCTCACTCTATCAGTAGGGCTTGCTGCAGCCCATCAGACTGAAGGGGCCTATTAAACCATCTGGCTGTTTTCCAGCTGGAACATTGGTCTACTTGGGCACTCAGACTAGAACTACACTACCAGCTTTCCTGGGTCTCCAGCTTGCAGATGGCAGCTCTTTTAATGATTCCTCATAAAATTCATGACCTGCTCTCACTATCCTGACCTCAGGCTGCTCAACATTTTCATCTGATTAGTTTTCTCTTCAAGAATGGGTCTTACCTCTGCCTGGATCATCACCTTAGAAAGGACACCCCTGAGCTCCTATGAAAGGCCCCTTGTGGAGATCAGAGCAGCCTATCAATGATCCACTGGAGAAGTAGAGCATGGGGCAAGTAGAAGGACATTCCAGACAGACTGCCTTTGTGACATAAAGGGCAGGTCAGAAGGAAGTACCCTAATGTGTTACCCTCACCTTAAAGCTCCATATTCCATTGTTTGTCCCTCCCCACACATCAGAATTTGATATCTTTTGTTTTTCAAGAGAACCAATGCAACAATTTTATTTACTTTTCAATAAATTTAAATCCTTGAGGGGTACAACATTGCAAGGATTCTATGTGCAGTGGCCTTCACAGGAAGGTTGCTTCATGGTTTGGCATGAATCCTGCCACTGTTCACAGGGCATGAGTTATCTTTTTCCAGATCCCTCTGGTTTGGTTTGGTTTGTCAGCAGGAGTCACTGTGTTGTGCTTTATGCTCATAAGCACATCTCTTGCCCAAGTAGAATTCAGTTTCATGTCAGGCATAAACAAACACCTTCAATTTTAGAAAGAGTTCTCTCTCTGGTTCTGGAGACACTGCCAGCAAAAATAGCCCTGGACCACAGCCTCCCTGACATAGTTACCACTTTAGAAGTCCTGTTCCCAGCAGGCTTCCACAGGCTCCAAGATGATGGACAGAGTAGATTGGATCTCTTTTGATAGCATGAGAATCTCTCTATAATTAGAGAAGGACAAAGTACTTTTTCAATACAATTGGTCCCTAAATAAACTGTGTTGATTGCTGAATCTAAGACGTAGTGTAGCCCTAAATCTTACTCAGATTCCTTAAAACTACCTTTGATTTGTAGGAGGTTGATATCATATTATTTTGTTGTTACTATTTATTATTTTGTGATGAAAAATTAACACTACAAAAAAGTAATAGTTCCACTAATAATTCTGCCAGAGAAAAATAACTTCACTTCTCCATATTATAGTTTGAAAGAGCATATCATTTTACATTGACATTGCCTCAAAATTCATAATTAATCCCAAAATGATGTAAGTAAAAGTTATGCAGGTCAGTAAAGAGGAAAAGAGAAATGATTTTCATAAAGTATTAAGATTGCTCAAGGTATGGCCCAAAGCCATGCCCCCTTGGGCTTTGTAGGATCATTTTCTCAGGCAAAGTAGAGTTAGGATTGGAGAGAACTCAAATGGGACAAAAAGCACGTGGGGTAATATAAGGACATGGGAGTTATGATTTAGGAGGCCTCCTGCCCCTTGAGTCAGTAATAACAATATTTAGCACTCCTGGGGTGCTTTTGAACCACTGGAAGCCCTTCAAAGCCCCACCATAGGCCCAGGGCACCAAGTGCCTGAGAAAGGTTATTGCTACAAGCATCATGTAACCTGATGTCCTTCACGCTGATGTACACATTGGGGGGAGGAAGAAACCAATACTGAGCGCCACATGTTACAGTCACACCCTCCTCACTGAACTCCTCACTGTGCCTGTTCTTGTATGTGCACAGCAGGGCAGCCAGAGTGACTCTTTGCAGACCCAGTCTGATTGTGTCACACCTCTGCTTAAACATTCAGGCCTCCCGTCAGTCTTAGAACAAAGACCAAATCCTAATATGGTCTTCAGGATTTGGTATTGACTCTTGCCCACTTCACCATCAACTTCCACTTTTTGCTCCTGCACACTGGTCTCTTGTAAGCTCCTCAAGCATTCCACGAGGGCACTTTCATGCCACAGAGCTCTGTCCAGGCTGTTCCCTGCCTCCCACGCCCACCCACCCTTTGCCTTGGCTCTTGGCTCACACTAGTACTTGAGATCTCAACTTAAAAGTCTGTTCCTCAATAAACTTCCTGCCCCAGACTAGTTTACCTCTCCCAGAACCAAGTATCTTTCCCTCAAGAATTTATCACATAGGCGATTATGCAGTCATGTGTGTGATTATTTGAGTAATGTCTTTTTCCTCCTCTTAAGCTGTGATCTCCATAAGGGCAAGGCCCATGTATGTTTTGCTTACCTATTTTTTTCCTAATGCCTGGCAGAGGTACATCATAGACTCTTAATGAATGCTTGATGCATGAACAAATGGTAGAGTGCTACCCCATCCCTGATAAATGTAATATTTGGGTTCACTCCCCAACATTCCAGCACAAGGCATAATGAGCATAGAAACTTTTATCCAAAATCCAGTAAAGGTTTGTTCACACCTTAGTCTCTGGAATTTAAGAGTATATTATTGATGACTTCAATTTGTGCTTCTCCATCCTTCAGAAGAAAGAAAATCATCATAGACTCATGGTACTAAGTGGGATTCAGTTATTTTGACTGGGCATTTTAAACATTAGGCAAATGTTGAACAGTCTAGTTAAGATAACTGAGTTTCCTGGGGCACCTGGGTGGCTCAGTCGTTAAGCGTCTGCCTTCGGCTCAGGTCGTGGTCCCAGGGTCCTGGGATTGAGCCCCGCATCGGGTTCCCTGCTCCGTGGGAAGCCTGCTTCTCCCTCTCCCACTCCCTCTGCTTGTGTTCCCTCTCTCGCTGTGTCTGTCAAATAAATCTTTAAAAAAAAAAAAGATAACTGAGCTTCCTAATTTTTTTCTACTGTTAGAGATCCTCTTCATGCGCCAGAAGTCTAGTGGAATACCACTTGAATCTTTATTCACCCTAATAGACAAAGAAATATCTCCTTGCTTTTCATGTGCTATCCCTTTGAGTGATTGTCTAGGAAATGAAGATCAACCATGTGTAGCTCTGGTGCATTCCTCATTCTTCAGAGCTCTCTGTGTAGCTGATGGATACCAAGTTCCCTCTTCCCTGAAATAAATTTTTTTTTAAAGATTTTATGTATTTATTTGAGAGAGAGAATGAGATAGAGAGAGCATGAGGGGGGGAGGGTCAGAGGGAGAAGCAGACTCCCTGCTGAGCAGGGAGCCTGACGCAGGACTCTATCCCAGGACTCTGGGATCATGACCTGAGCCGAAGGCAGTTGCCCAACCAACTGAGCCACCCAGGCGCCCCCTCTTCCCTGAAATAAACCACTCCCATTTCTAGCTAATTTATCTAGAGTGGTTTTTCTCTCAACTGCTATGGAGCTGTCAAGGAAAAGAAAACGTTGTTTGAAAAGAATAGCAAGAGGGTCGCCTGGATGGCTCAGCCGTTAAGCGTCTGCCTTCGGCTCAGGTCATGATCCCAGGGTCCTGGGATCGAGCCCCGCATCGGGCTCTCTGCTTGGTGGGAAGCCTGCTTCTCCCTCTCCCACTCCCCCTGCTTGTGTTCCTTCTCTCACTGTGTCTCTGTCAAATAAATAAAATCTTTTAAAAAAAAAAGAAAAGAATAGCAAGAATAAACCAGCCCTCCCAGGGATTAGATACGTTATAAGACTGTGATAACTGTGACAGGTGCCAGGACTTCTGTGTCAGTAGCTGTGGTCCTCTGGGCACCAGACTAACTAGCAAGAATAGGAAATCCATAATGTAAATCCTGCACAGTGCCTGTTCAAGGCTATAATCCACTGTGGCTCCTGAGAAGTAGTTCTTCACTTGACCCACTTGAGGCTGCTTCTAGGCCAAGGCCCCCGTTTAAGGATCACAGTCACAGTTTGAGGGGGCCTGGTTTCCCCTGACTTCTGTGGCCTCTCGCCTCTTCTGGCCACTACCTCTTTCATTCCCTGAGCCAAAGCCTTCATTTCTTCTCTTCCCTCACATTATCTGTGGTTGGCCTATTATTGGGAAGACTCTCAATCGGCCTATCAGTGCTGAGCCCCAGTTACTAGCAACTGACATCACTGTGTCAGTCCTCAAGGGCTGGTGGGGCTCATTTTTCAT